ATTTAGACTCACACGTGGGATGTTTTTTTACATCTCCATCAAATCTCAGTTTGAACTATACATAATTATATTATAACAAAAATATTTCATTACTATATGCATCATGGCATTACAATATATATGTGGATTCAAAATTGTTGACTTCCATAATTTTTAACTAAATGGTGTATAAATAAAACCTTCAAGTTTTTTTTTCCGCTTAACACGTCACTGATAATCAATCACCTTTAATTATAACCGATATTTTACGCAACATATTTCTCTATGTCTTGCCAACCTCATGCTGAAAATTACGAAATGTTTCTTTTAATTTGTAATTTGTTTCTTGATTATATACTTCAACAATCTTACTCGGTCGTCGATTAAGGTAATTGGGGTATTCCTCACATAATAATGAATGTAAACCTTTTATTTGACTAAAACACACATTTACATGCTTGCCGCCATGTAGTAGGGATAGACCTTCACATGTTGGAAGGCAGCGCATTACGATCAACATAATACCGCTAGTTTTGAAAATCTTCACAGTCGATTTGTTTTTCGTAAAAAACGTGTAAATCTTTATATGAGCATGGTGCTTAAAACAAGTAGAGAGGTCAAGCCACCAGTCGTTAGGTGGTAGCACACGGTAATGAGGGTTACCTGTAGGACCGTGTAGAGGACCAACTTAGTGGCAAAAATGAAAAATGTATGGAATCGCTGCAATGATTTCTTTCACAATCAAAATAATTTTTATTTTTATCTTATATCTTTCCTCAAGAGATCATGACCTAATCTACTAGGACACCAATTTTCAAAAATTGTTTGGCCTTGGTCTGGGCACAAAAAAATCACTAAAGTTAGGACACTTTTTCGTTGGTCCATAGGTGGCGGAGTGGCAAATGGAAAATGTGTCGATTCGGTGCGTCAATTATTTCACTATTTACACATTTGTTTTTTATTTTTTTGATATTTTTCTTGGAAATATCTCAACCTAATCAACGGGATCCCAAAGTTTCAGATTCTTCTGTGCATTATTCGGGGTGTGAAACATCATCAAAGTTAGTGCAAAAAAATTGTGCGACTAGACCCGCTGGTTGCCTGTTGGTCGGCGCCCCCCCGCCAAATGCGCCCTGTACTCACTAGAAAGCTCATTTTCGGTTGGCGAGGGGACTTGTGGTTTAACTTGTCATTCACCAATTTGCAAATTTATAATAGTTTCATCATTTCATTAAAATCGGATAATTGTTCATTACAACAACTTTTATGTTGAACTTTATAGAGAGTACATATTAGGATTACCGATTTCAACATTTTTTTTTTCACAGTCAGCGCTAGTTTAGTCGGTTTCCCAGAGCCAAGATTAATCCTGAACGAGTTTATTTAGCTAACAATTTTTTTTTCAATAGTAAACATTCTTTATGTTTTTTTGCATTTACGAAAATGTAGAGTATCGACGAGCACGGGAGTAGGTGCAGTGGAACGTGAGGTGGTTTGAGTATTGGGAGTTACTACGACACAAACCCCTTGATGATGACTAAGTGGCTGCAGACGATATGTGCGTCAAGGATGTTGTTTTCATTTTACTTATGTGCTTCAAGGATTATAGTTGGAAGTATTGGGGTGTTTTGTAGTTGTAATGAATTTGGGGTGTGTGTACATGGACCTGAGTGTACATGAATGTGTCTTACTCTGCACTAAGGTGTACGTAAATTTATGAATTCTTTGTTTTATTTTTTTTTGGCAACCTGTGTGGTGAGACCCTTTACCATGACCAGTGCAGTTGGCAGTTGGAACGAAAGATGACATTTCCAGCAAGGTCCCACTTATCCGGATTCTTCCTTTCTGACCGTTGGTCTTTGCAATAGGTGAATCTTGACGAGGTATCGTGGACTTAGCTTCATAGTGACTATGCCAACCACAGAAGGAGCCTTCCACTCGTCAACCTTATGGCGAAATTGTGGTGCTGATGCTATACTAAGGGGTTTGTTAGACACTCCTCGAGCAAGTAAATTCCCCGAGAAAATTTTCGTTCAACCTGTCCTCGAGGAAAAAAATCGAAAAAAAAAGTAAAAACATTTTGTCGGACCATCCTCGAGGAATCATCGGGCCACAACCATTTTGCGGTCTCCCCCAAGGTACCTCCCGAGGTCCCTTGGGGGTGAAGGATTCGCGATAATCAAAGTCGTGAGGGTTTCAGTCATCGGCAGAAAATTATCGTCAGCTGGTCCATTAGAGTTCCTACCGGGCGACGCACAGACATCATCAATCTTCAACGTTCGGCCTCCAGGAATCGTACCCCAACGGCAACCGTTGGTGGCCTGCCGACCTCCATGCATGTCGTCCACCGTCGTTCTCCCTCGAAGTGTGTGCCGCCAAACGCAAAGCGGCCCAACGGACATAAAATTCAAATATTTGAGGCCACCGAAATTTTTATTCCCTGCTACACAACGCGAGGCATGACAACGGTGTTTGTCTTTCAAAACTCTCACGGAGTGCATGGAGAAGCACGGGACGCTAATGGTGATGACGATGGAGAGTGCTAGCAAGAGGCAGTGTTTCATTCAAGTTTGACAATGTGAAGTTATGGAAGCGGAGGTGGAGGTGCAGAGAAAGCACTACGTGGCGTTAGAGGATGTGAGCAAGCTCATGTGCCAAGCACTGTTGGAGATAGGGAAGGCTATACGGGAGAGGTAGAACAGGGAATCCTGTCGTTCACGACATTACCGAGGGAACTTACTGACTGACCTTGACCGCTTGCATCGTCTTCTGTCGTCGTGGACGCCCCATGAACAACAATCCTCTTGTCGTTCTCCTCCGTCGTCCTTTATCAGCGTCGCCCCATGATCAGCAATCCTCCCCTCGTCCTCCAACGTTGTTGTTTATTGTTTTCGTCTTCTATTTTTTTTATCGGAGTTACCATAACCGTTAATGTGGGGGTGGCGTGGGTGAGGGTAGTTAATAATCTTGTAGTCTTAGGATTTTTTAATTTTAAAATTGGTAGTAAGCACGATACTCATCTCCAGCTGAGCATTTTGAGAAAATTTAAGGCTTGCGACTGCCAAGTCCAATCCTTATCCTACATCTATTGTCGTCGTTCGGTAATTTTACGCAGCCACATTCTGCGTTACTTTTCGACTTTACGTTCCTCTCTCTCTCTCTCTCTCTCTCTCTCTCTCTCTCTCTCTCTCTCTCTCTCTCTCTCTCTCTGTGTTTGTGTGTGTGTGTGTGTGTGTGTGTGTGTGCATTTGTTGTCCTTGCATGTGCAAAATTATCTGCGACAACAACCAATTGAATCTTGAATGGCATTTCGGTGATGGCATTTTCTGGCATATAGAGGGAATGATGAGGTCGCGCATGGATGCCGCATAAAGGTGTTGAATTGCCAGTTCATCTACACGAACTCAGGAAGGGCAGAGGGAAAATGCATGCTGTCATAAATGTCTTTTGCCGCACAAAGGTGTGGTTTGCAATGTTGTCCTCCTGTTGGAATATGGATGTCCGCAATTTTCGCAAGAGGCGGAAACGATCATTCATGCTTCCTACGGAGCTGACACGTTTTGCAGTACATGACGTCTGCTATTTTTTGTCATTGATAATATTTGTTATTCCGTTTTTCCCTAAAGAAAACGGTGCTATTTGGCCACACACACACACACACACACACACACACACATTAGAATATTCGGTAAGCGATGTTGTGGTGCGAGAGAGGGGCACCTCGATGAAATAAGGTGGGTGGCGAATGGGGACTTGAGGGGGAGTTGTATGGTTGCTCTACGAATGCGAGTGTTTTTGGGATGGGCGCGGAGAGTGTGTGCGGGTACATGCCCTTTTTTCGTGGGGGCAAGGTGGCTGGGGTTGTCTTTGATGACAGTCACGCTGGGTGCGTCCAGCGTGGGGTCTGGTGGGGTGCTGGACGATGGCACTTGCGCGGGCCACCTCACGGGGTCCGTTTATCTTCCTCAATGACGAACGGATTCCAAAGTGGACGACTGCAGATCAAGCAACAATCGAGGTCTGCGATGTGGGTGCATACACGCTGATGGACGCTCACGACCTACTGCACGATAGTCAAGGCAGACGTGTCGCTATCGCCTGTCCATGTATGCCGAAGGAAATGGAGGGACGGAGCTCACTCGTGTCGTCGTCATCCAACAACCCGCAATGGGGTTACATAGATAGAGTGCCTCGCCAAGATCGTCCACAGTGGCGGGCATAGACCGCCCGCTATTGTGTCGTCACCTGCACATCGCCGTCTCCACACGTAAACGGTCTCCACGATTACTTGTCTGCCATCATTGATGTTCGCTCCATGCAACATTGTCGCCACGTTATTCGTCGTCCCTCTGCATACACGCCTACCATTGCCTGGCCGCCGCTAGCAAGCCACCTTCCGCTAATCTATGCGACCTCGCCACGTGTATCATTCCATCGCCCGCAAGCATAGCTTCCACCATCTACGCCTTGAAGTCCGTGCAAGGCCTTGTTGCCCGTCCGCCGCCGTGGCTTCCACGGGGACACCTCTTATGTCTGCGTGTTGTACTGTAATAACGGTGAAGTCCGTGCATCTGATATGACACGTCTTCATCGACGACAACTTTGCAATCCAACCGGGACGTCGAAAGGAAGTCGTCTCTTGCGCATCGTTGAAGGTAGTCGTCTGTCGTCCTCATGTTCTACGGCGACTCCTTTGATCTTTGCGCATAGTCGAGGCAGCCGTGTACCGCCAGCATCGTGAATCTAGTAGTGGCATCCCATGTCCATCATGGCGTTCTGCAACTCCGCGGATCAGTGTTGTCCACTGTTGGGCTGCGTGAACCGGGTCTTTTCAGCATTGTCACTGCCCCGGACACATCACCTACTTTGGGCACCCTATTGCACTGTTCACGCCGTCGGCGCTCTTCAGGATCGTTGATAGTCGTCTTTACCATGTTGTCACGAGGTGGTAATCGTGACCTCGTGACAAGAAGAGGGACAATTGCGAAGCGGAGACGCCTGTGGCCGTGAATAAAGGACGGGATCAACCGAAGAACAAAAATATTTTTGCAGAGGGCCCTTCGAGGGGAAGTGCCTTAAGGGACGACGAATGGGTGAAGGATGTCGAGGGCGCCGACGATGACGAGGACTTCGTGTCCGAAACCGAAGTGGAAGCCGTTAGACAAGTCTTTGTGCGTGCACAAAGGGTGCTGCGAATAAATGAGCCGCGAATGCAAACTGCTCCCCAACCCCACGGTGGGAAGGGGGTTCGCAAGGTTGATGTCGTCATCGATGTTGAGGATGGTCAAGTGGCAAGGGAGATCCAAGTGAAGACAGCTTCGCAGACAACGCACTTTGGGGGGACTGTTGCGAGGACACCTATGACTGCGCCGCCTGACGGGCAAGATTTTGTGAGGGTGCAATCACCCCCAGCCACACCATGTGCCCAAACAGTTCCGGCCGCGGGAGGGGCCACGAAGGTGGCGACGCAAGGAAATGGTCAAGCTGCACAACGACAAGACGCGGTGGATGCGCAGGGCGGTGTCGTGGCGGGATCATCTAGACCGACGACGGTTGCAGCAGTCGCGGGGAGATGTGGGGAAGATGACGACAACGAGCCTTTGGTGAACAGGCAACGGTGGGGAACGACACCAGATGGGATCGAAAATGCGACAAAGTTGTGGGTGGATAACATGAGGTTTTGGAACGAGGCGGAGGGTAGTGGACTCTTCAAGCTCATCGAGGAAGCGCAACTTTATTTGTTGGCCATCGGCAGGGGAGTCACGATGCTCGAGATCCGTCGGAGTATAACCCTCCCTCCCTCAAGCATCCCGCAACACAAAATCGAGGACAAATCACAGCTGAAGGCGGCGAAAAGCAGGGCCATCAAAGTGCAGAGCATCGCCTTGCGCGTCATCCACGGATGAATCTTAAAGTCCCCGAGTCGCTCACAGGGCTACCACTCCGTAGGTATGTGTTGAACCACCCGACGATGGACATCGTCAGCGTCATGTGGCTTGGAGAGGACTGGTGCACGTGTGTCAGCCCCATTGTCTGCCACATCACACTGGACATGGACATGAAGCTCCCCATTTGGTTCGTCGGCGCGCACAACGAGGACAGACACGAGGACGACGAGTTGGCATGCTACCAAGAGGCGACCATGCAGCGCCTGGTGGGCGCCTTCACTAGTACCGTCAGTCTGGGGAAGGCAATCGACTCGGGGTGCATCTCCTATGAAAGGCTAAGGAACATCGTTGACGCTATGAGGCTTCTACTCGCGGAGTCAATGTGGTTGATGAGGATGAGCAGGGATGATCCGCGTTCCCATTTCGATGCGTCATTGTTCGTGCCGCTCACCACAAAGCCGACACTGGTGGTGGCCATGCATCAATCGTTCGATGGTCGTCGCCATATCCTTCAGGCAGTAACCGTCATGATAGAGAGGATGGGGAAACCCGCCATGACGTTGGCAAACCCGCCGTCGATGCGAATACCCTTACAAGGGTATCCGCCCTGACTTTCGCAAATGACAGAAAATAAATTGGTTTAAGGATTAAGTATCCCGCGCGAGGCGCGACTGTATCTATAATTAATGTTAACTAGGTGGTTGGTTAGAGTAGAGAATGTGTGGGCATGCAAGTTTAAGGCGCACGTGATCTTTTAATTGTTGATGGCTGAGAACCGCCATGACCGCTGACGGGATTTGATTATTTTTTATTAAACTAGGATTGGAAAAATTATGTTTTTGGATTGGTGCGCTTGCTGATGACTAGTGCGTACGTGCGGAGGATGGCGTCGACAACAGCGTGAATGTTGAAGGCGATTCGGCAGGTCCGCGCGTCGCGCGATGTCGTTTTGTTTAGGTGTTCATCAAAGCGAGACCCAGACTTGGGCCTAACCCTATTCGTTACGGTATCAGACCATTATTTAGGAGACTTAGGGATCGAGAACAAGCCGCGACGGTGTGGGAGCATCGGAGCTGCGTAAAGTAACTGACGGGTTAAGGGCCCGGCGAGGCTATCACTTGGGTCTTGCTGTCCGTAGGATTGGGCGGCGGGGCCAAGGCGGTAATTAGTAAGCTACGCCCTTCCGTTTCCTCACCGTATAATTTTTGCTTTAATTTTTATAAGGATAATGATCTGCGCTGAAACTCGCTTGCCAAGCCTCGCTTTACGAGACTGTAGTAGGCTGCGCCCCGAGTCCTTGGGGCTGTTTGCATGGGGAGGCCTGTTGGGAGTCATGAAGGGGCAATCGGACGGGTGGGCCGGGGCGATAAGCCACAGGGGAGCGCACTTATAACCCGCCATCTGCCTTGGTCTCCGAAACTCTCAAGTTTCAGGGTTGTTGTGATAATGACGTGCTTTCTCATTTCATCGGGATTGGGTAAACGGGCCATACATTAGTCAAACTAATCAGTGTCTGGCCCCTCCGAAATTCTGTCGGGTAGGCTGTAGCGTTGGGCGCTATCAGGAACGAGTGAAGGAAGGTCAAAGAAATGGGGGAATCCGGACGAGATTCACGCCAAGATGAGGTCGAGAGGGCACTGTGAGAAGGGGCACAGGTAGGGCGGAATTAGCAGACTCCGTCGTCGGGCCAGCAGATAGGGGCGAGGAAGATCGTCGGGCCGGCTAGTAGCTGATTCCCCTCGGAGTATCAGTCACAGGAGTGAAAACCGACACGGTCTAAGGACCGCTCGCTTCGAAAGACGAGACTACTGCAGAAAGCGAGACGGGTAGAGGCAGGGAAGGGAGGACCGAGCCGCAAAAGTCGTGTTGTGCGCGTTCGAAGGACGGAGATGGTGGACGACGAGATGCGCTTAGTGGAAAAGTGCAGCGCTCGTCCGTTTGTGAGTCGATTTGGGTGAAGGAAGGGGCAAACCTGAGGTTTTTGCCCCAGGTGAAGCTAATGATGACCACGGTTTTGGAGAAGGGTTAGTGGGTGGAGAGCTAGCACAAATAGTCATTGCGTGGGATGTAGCGGAGCAAGGAAGAAGGAAAGAGGAGATGAGTTATTCAACGGGTTCGAGCGAGGAAAGGGACGAGGTAGAGGTTACTTAGTAGGCCGAGTTCGATGGTTAGTTTAGATCCGAGGTTAGGGTTGCGAAGGAAGGATGGCACAAGGAAACAACGAGAGTGATGATGTTGGGAAGGGAAAGATGGTAAGAGTAAACGTGCAAGATACCATTCGATTCATGAAAGAATCAAGTGAGACAAAAACTTAGGCGAAGGTTTTGGGGTAGAGCGAGTGTGTTGGTAAGAGCGGATTTAAAGATGGAGTAGTGGAGAAAGTTGGACGAAGCACAGGAGCTGCGCGAATAAGCAAGGAGGAATCGGCCTGTATTGAACCATGTTCTAGAGGGAGATTCATTCAACCTTGCTCATCCTGGTGACAGGAGTAGCGTGGGTCCTTTCGCGAGTGAGGAAGTGACTTACCTGCTGAACAGAGCAATAGTCATTTTATCGGAGCGAGGCTGCGAGCGGACCAGCTGTGAAGTTGGATACTAATATACGATTGTACATGCCCCGTTGTATGGGCAAGTGCATGCATAGGGAGAAGAGGGAGTAAAGGTGGGAAGTGATACTTACCTGGTTGGATCATGCCCGCGACCGGTAAAATGCAACAGCAAGCAGCACCAGGCAGCGCCAGTAGTCGTGTAGTTCTTATATAGGCCGGTAGTTACATGCTAGTTTCGTCCATTTTTTTATTGAAGAAAGTCGCGTATGCTCGAGCGCAAGGGTGGAGGTCTACCTCTCGGCCTGTGAACTGGCACCTCAATGATGGAAGGAGTGGGGGTAGACAACTGAAAACGGGAGTTCAGCTGATTGGTCGATGAGAAGCTTATCTCATCACCTAGAGCAGCGTGATGCTGTGATCCCATCCGTGGGTAAAATGCTCATCGATTGCTTGTAGGGACTACACAAGCTATATTTGCTTGCACACTCCCCACTGCAGGGCTAGTTAAAACGAGTAGTTAGTTTATAGTGGCAAGAGAAAGAGGGGAGGGAGCATGAAGCCAGAGCACAGGGTGAGGGGCTTGTCGACTGAACCACGTCCGCCAACCGCTGAAGACTGCGTATGTCAGTCTCACTGAAAACGATAGTCTGATACCTGTACCATTTCAGCTCTGCAAGATGCCACAAAAAGGAGAAAAGAGTGCGTACCTGGTCCTGCGGTAATCCACGAAGTCGACATCTTCAGGCACCACGGTGGTTGCTATAAATGTCAATAGGGTGTATTGCGTGCATACAGACTGCTACAGGCTGTATAGTGGTAATCTGAGCACCAAGAGCCGAGCGGGAGGAAGAGTTTTTGGAGCGTATGTTGGTGGTGAGATCAATCACGTTGTGGTTAGTGCAGGGGAGGCTGCAACTGGGTAGGTTGTTGCTCCTTCAGTCCGCGAGCCTGTCATTTTGGCCTATGTGGCGGGTGTTGCGACTGGTATGATTGGTATTGTTGGCAAGAAGGATTGCAGCGATCATTGTGCGTTGCTGCTACGAACGTGTTTACCACCCGCAGTCGCTATGTTTTCGGCTGATTCTGTATAGTTAGTCTGCAGGCGTTAGCGCTGTGTTTTGCGGTATGCATCGTGATCGCTGAGTTCACTACTACGGTATGGGGAATCGCCAGAAGAGGTTGTTTCATCGGTTTGACTTCAGTTTGACTGGTGGTTGCAATTTTTTTGGCCATCATTGCGGGGCCCTCAGGCGCTTGAAGATAACAAGGCCTCTCACGCGAGTCTGAGCGCACTCTCCTTGGATCTGAGAGACTTAAACTTCCTCTTTCTATCCTTCTTAATCTATGTCTAGTCCTATTACGAGAGGAAGGCAGCAAGCGGGATTGCAACCCGTAGGACCGCAGCAAGACTTTGTAGGGAGTCAGCCCACTGATTGCGGGAGCTCGGCCGGAACTCAGGAGGAGTTTTGGAAGCAGGGAACTGAAAGGTAACCATTACTCTCCCTCTATAAATCCAGTTATAACCATTATCTGTATTCCTTGTTATACTTTGACTTAATATACTTCATGCCCCTTTACTTTGACTTTATGTTTGACTTTCAAGACACAAACCAGACTAAATAAAGGAATATATGTACTATGTCGGTTTCAGTTTTATTGTTTGACTGAAAGCAGATTGTGGGATTGCATCTGGGGGAAAGGTAGGAGGAACGCAGTATTGCATGTTTGACTGGGTCAACCAAAGGTTGGGAGAGTCTCTATAAGATTGAAGTGTCCAGTGCTATGTTTACTTTTGATTGCCTGAAGGACCAAACAGGTTCCCATAAGATTGGGTGGTCTGGTTGCTTTGACTTGTGAGGGCTGTATGTGTTTGACTTTCAAGGACCAAGCATTTTTCCATAAGATTGGATGGCTTGGTTGCCTTGTTTCCTTGGGTTTTCTATATTTTGTTGGTTTCTGAAAGAGGGTTGGACAAGTTTCATAAGATTGGATGGTCTTGGCTCTCTCTTGCTTTATTTTTGAAGGAGGGAATTCAGGCAAAGGACTGGAGAGGTTCCTATAAGATTGGGTGGTCTGGTCTGGAGCCACGCACATGCTGAAACACAAAGGGTAAACTTGTTTATATCTTATATTACTATTTATGAACAGGTTAGTCAGACATTTTTTCATAAGATTGGATGGTCTGACTATAGTTTATCACCAACTGAAGAGAGTATGAATTAAGAATAAAATTGTGGTAAGAAGGGACAAGCTGAATATTTATCTAAGATCCGTTCAGTCATATGTTGCCTTAAAAGACAAAGTGCAAACAATTACATATAACTTGGATACTTAAATGACTCAGGCGACTAGGATGGCCTAGTCACATGCCCAAAGAAGAGAAAAGTTGTAGTGCCATGTGTTTGTGTATACTCTATGGCTGAGCTAGATAGGTTCTGATAAGATTGGGTGGTCTGGCTTTAGGCCTTATGTAAGCTGGGTATAAAGGGATAAATCATTAAGAAACCATGAACTATTGTTTGATAGGTTGACTTTGGGGTGGTGAGAATGCTTACTTATGTGGTTTGACCTGCATGAGACTAAGTGCGACTACTACTTAGTCTGAAAGTCAGTTGATAGGTAGTTGCTTTAGTTGCTCGCCACGTGCTAGAGCCATAGAAGTTAGTTTTAAATTCCTGCTTTTTCTTAGCTAAGTTTTTTTACTTAGATCAATTTCTGTATTTTCTGGGATCTGTTATTATACTTGGGTTTGTATAAATCTTGGTAAGCCACTTTCTCTACGGGAAGCGCTGCCAAAATTTCTACAAAACCAAGGAGTTAGTCAGATTTTTGTCTTTTTCATAGTTCAATTTTTCTGACTTTCTGACTTAGTAAAAATCTGGAACACCTCATTTTCTAAAGGGAGTGCTGCCCAATTTTTTGTTAATTCAGGGAGTTAGACAAAAATTGAACTTTGAGAAGTCAAAATCATGTTCTTATTCTGAACTTAACTTTGTATAAATTTTGGAGTAGCACTTACTCTACGGGAAGCGCTGCCGAAATTTCTACAAAACTAAGAAGTTGGTTAAATTTTGTCTCAAGTCAGATTTTTGTCTTTTTCA